GCTTCACTGAGTTACGCAAGCCCCTTCGCCACGACAAGGCAGTGATCCATGAAGGGGTTACGATATTAGTGGACAGCTTTATAAATAAAAAAAACATTGTTGAGCTTGGAATGTGGCATAATTAAGATATGTGTGGGGGGTCCCTTTTAAATTGAACAGGAGGGACAATCAAGCAGGTGGGGCCTCCATTCCTGTCTTGCTACCAATGGCAGCTGGCACTATAATCCCAGGCATTGGGTCTGGACCCTTCAGCACCACCAGTGGGAAAGCAAAGGCTGGCCTTGGGATGTCATACCAGACCCAGGGGAAGTAGGCCAGAACCCATTCTTCAGATGGTGGCCAGTGAGATTCACAAAGTGACAGCAGAGCCACATGATCGGGCCTAACCCAGACCTTGCAGGTTGTTCCCAGGCTTCCTGGTTGATGCTCTTCTTGCATCCCCAAATAGGATGAAGCAGAGAAGAAGGATGAGAAAGAGAAGAAGAAGGAGCCCGAACCTTCCTTCCAGATCCTTGACAATCCAGCCCGGGTGATGCCAGCCCAACTCAAGGTGCTCACCATGCCAGAGAGCTGCCGGTACCAGCCTTTTAAGCCTGTAAGTTGCGCTGGCAAGAGCTTCTGTTGATAGGCCAATTCCAGAAAAGCTTTGTAGTTTGAGCTGAATTTACGTATCTCTTGAAGCCAAAAGACTGTTTACTGCAACGTACACAGAGAATGTGGCTTCTCCCACCCCCATTTTCACCATTGATGTGAGGCCCAATCCACTACAAGACAGACTCACGTGAACAGGAGCCAGGGCAGAGGGCCCTTTGTCAGGGAGAGAGATGTAGAAAAGCAGCATTTCTTTGGTATTTTCTGGCTGCCACTTCATCTCTTTGTGGCTCAGGCAATTAAAATCTTCAGGCAGTTTCCCCCTCCCCAGGGCATATCACAAGTCAGACCTGCCTCTCAGTCTCTTGCTGTTTAGGGTACCTCAGCTGTGTCTCCCAAGGTCCTGCATTGGCAGACAGAGTCCACGGTGCCAGATCCAGCAATCTCATGGAAAGGCTGTTTCCTTTCCACTTCCTGCCACCTATAGCTGACCTTTTGGCAAGTCACAGGTCAGCATGGAAGCTTTTTAATGTATGGGTTAACTTACTTTTAAAACAGGCCAATTTTACCTTCTTTCCCCCCACCCAAAGATACTCAGTGATTTAACATGCAACCCAAATGCCAGCAATGCTGGATGCAAATGTTCCAGCTGACGTTGTCTGCCAGATGCTGTAGCAGAAACGGAAAACCCTTGAGATGGGCAGGAGCAATTGTAACGCATTTGCTCCTGTGGCTACCGATAGCACTCCTGCTTTCAATTTTGGATCGTTTTAGTTCTTTTTTAGGAATCTGGGTGAGTTTTCAACAGAGGCAGGTCTGTGGAATCTGGATTTGCAGATAGGATGCAAGAAAAAGCATGTGTGCAGGAGCTGATCTTTTTCTGTGGTTCTGAAGCAGGAATCTTTTTCTTCCTTTCATATTTTTTTTTAATTAAACAAGTTTTGAAGAAGATACGTAAACAACCATTTAATAAAGGAAGAAAAAGGAATTAAAAAATAGTATTTTTAAGCAAATAGACCAAGGATTTTAAAATATCATGGAGATTGTAATTTTCCAGTGTATCAATGAATTAATTAGGGGTAACTGAATGTATTCTATCCTTTTAAAAAGTCTAAAAGTTGCTGATAAGCTCTGAGCTCAGCGTAAATAAGAATCATGGTCAGAAACCGTATAAGTCGCGGAGTAAGATGAAAAGCTACAGTCCATTTAACTGCTCTGGTTTAGATAGCCTGTGAAATTTAAATATGGAGTCTGTGCACAGCAAAACCCAAATTTCAGATCTGGCGGCAAAGCCTCACTAAGTTACAGTCAAGGAATGGTTTCTAGTTGGAACTGGCAGCGGGAAGCGTTCAGGGAGAACAGGACCAAGCCCTGCTGGGCCCAATCTTCATCCGTTGCGATGCAGCCGTGGCTCCCGCCAGCCACGGGACCGGCCGGCCTTCCCTCATCCAGAGGCTCCACCAACCAGGCGCTTCTGTTTCCCCAGCTTTCCATTGGGGGCATTATCGTCTTGCGAGACACCAGCGAGGACACAGAAGAACTGGTGGAGCCGGTGGCAGCTCACGGGCCAAAGATAGAGGAGGAGGAGCAGGAGCCAGAGCCCCCCGAACCTTTCGAGTACATCGACGACTAGGATGAGGTGGGTACCTGCGGTTTCCTGGCTGGATCTCTTCAAACATCCAACACAAAGACTTGACTGGGTTGGGAAATGTCCCTAGCCACAACGGAGGGGGCTCTTTCAGCCGGGCCAAGAATTCAGCGGCATGAACGTTTCATTATGCATTGTCACCTTCTGGATCACAGCTGAGTTGGAAGTGCTGTAGAGGTCATCTCATCTGACCCTCTGCCCAGTGCTCTTGCAGCCTGCCCAACAAGGGCCGCCTTCTGTGTAGTTTCAGCAGGCCCCTCAGGGCTTAAATCCCAGCTAAGTGTGTTCACAGCAGCCTAGGAAGTTAGGAGGACGCAGAAGTAAAGGAGCCCCCACCCCTCTGGTCAACCCTGGATTTTGGGGGCATTGCCAAGAACTGGCACAGGGCGAAGGGAGCCGTGTTTCTGCCCAGACTGGGTCTGCCACAGCTTTTCCCATAAAGCTGCTGCTTAAGCAAGAGAGAGGAGGCTGCTGCAGCGCTTCCAGATGTTGAATTTGAATTTGGCTGGGCCAAAGAGAAAAGGAAGAATATGAGAGCTTGTTTGTTTGATATGGCTGCCCCATCTTATATGCATGACTCTGGTGACTAACAGTGAAAACAGAATAAAAACAACCCGAAATAGAAACAAAATAAATAATATGAAATAGCAGCTGAGAACACCCATAGCATTCAAAATAACCATGAAACAGGCCCACCCATACTATCAGGGCCCTAGGCTTGATGGCAAAATCAGGTTTTTAGTGCCTTGCAAAAGGCCAGCAGAGTCGGGGCAAGTCTGATCTCTGGGAGGACGAAGTTCCAGAAGATCCTAACTAAACAGACCAGCAGGCATGAGAAACACTGATTTTCAATCATGGAAATTGATGTCAGCCTTGCAAGGTAGACCAGACAGGCAATACAGCCATATGAGCTAATTCTACATTATTGTAAGGTTACATTAACAGACTCTTGCAAGTCTGAAAGTACATTTCTCCCCATCCCCTTTACAGACCAAGAAAGGAGGGAGGGTCCCTTCTGAGCCGCTTGGCCCACCCACATTCCTGCTGCAGGCTCAGCTGCCTCTTATCTGACCATTCCCTTGGCTGCCTCTCTTCGCCTTGTCTCCCAGGGTCATTCCCACATACCATTACAATTATTGCTATGAGCTGGCAGGCCAGTCTGAATACCGGCATGGCTTGTTTAAGGGTTCCTGCTCGGATCAGATGGACAGGCTGGCCACTAGCCCAGCTCCAAGAAGGATCAGCAGCGTCTCTGCAGCTGAGCAGGGCTGAGCCCGTGCAGACCTCTCCCTGCTCCTCAGAGGAAGCCACGTAAGCCTCGTTGGTATCTTTGCCAGAACATCACCCGGGTTCGTTTCCTTTCTCCTTTCTCCTCCAGGTGGGCAGCCCTCAGTGGGGTTTGGCACAACGTCTGGATGTCTGGAGCCCTGGGAGGAAGTTCCTGTGGGAAGCCACAGCTCAGCGCACGTCCCAACACTTCTCGGTTGGCAGTCCACGTTCGACAGACAGAGAAGAACTATGTTCTCTTTAGTGTACTCTTTCACAAGAAACCGGTTTTCAAAATAAATTAATTAAAAACCCCAAGGGCAAATCTGGTGTTTCCTTTCTCTCCGCTTGGTTCAGAGGGAAGAGCAAAGTGAACAAGATTGGCTCAGACAGGACTTTGAAGAAGCTGCACTTTGTTAGTAAATTCTGCACTTCCAGCCATGTTCTTGGCACAATTGAAAAGTTTTTGGCTAGACCTGCTGCCCGATATACTCTTAGAATCTGGAAAGCCACCTCCGTCACCCAATACCTGGGTTCATACGGGTTTTCCTCTCCACTGAACATCTAGCTCCGGTGTAGCTGCAGGCGAGAAACTCTGCCTGTCAAGAACTGATGGGCTGTTTAGGTGTTCCCAAGGAAATCACAAGCAATATGTTCCCCATGGGAGATAAATAAAATCCCACCAGGTCTTGCTTCCCCCACCAGATCTTGTCCTGCTTTGGATCTCCTCTGTTTCTACATTAGAAATGTAACTTAGTGCGATGCAGGGAGAGTCAATGGCGTAGCGTTTAGAAACAGGAATAAAAGTGTTTATTGTTCAACTTGAAAAGGTCCGCTGAAGTTCCCTTTCCTCCCTACCGAATAAAAGACATTTTCTGACGATAGAACACTCTTTAGAAATATCTTCTACCTTCTTTTATTGAAGTTACAGTTATTTACATCAGTCACTGTGCTGAAAGATACAGCTGGGTAAAAAGTCAGAGCTTTGCTTCCAAACCACCTGCTTTATAGTTGACAATTGAGAGGCCGTCGGAACTCCTTGCCTCGGGAATCTGGCTGAGAGGAGATGATCTGGTTTAAAGTTCTTTAGCTGACAGTCTCCCCATTGGGGGAGATGGGCGGCATACAGATTTAATAATAAATACATAAATAAGCAAGCAAGCAAGCTTGAAGTACATAGGTAGGATGGCACTTGAAAGCAGTCCTGATGATAGGATGAAAAAAAGGCAGGTGGCTGATTCAGACAGCTCCCATGCAAAAAAGAACTATGTGCTGTGTAGTTCAGTTACCATTACATGCCACGTAATGGCACAGCTCCCCCTTCTCTTTTCTTTGCCTTTTTTCCCAATCCAGGGAGGAGAACTGGCAGTCATGTGGCAACCAGAAGTCATGTTTTCCTCTAAGCAGAGCTGCAAACAGGTCCCCTGCAAGGAATGCTCAAGAGATAAACACGATCGAGGAATTATCCAAGGAGTGAATAAATCCTAGTTGTAGGTGGCCTGATCATTAGCGATGAAGGCTGTGTATGTAGCCGGTGTAGAACGAGCCTGATTTCTTCTTGCAGCGTAGGGCTGTGCAAAACATGTTGGACCTGAACCCCTTTGGAATTGGAAATGGCCTGCTTTTAATGCTGAACCACTAGCTAGAACTCAGTTCAATAATTCTGAGCTTGAAATACTTCCAAAATGGTTGAAACAGCCCGTGATGGATTGAGGAGCTGGGCCTGGATGAAAGAGACCCTGTCTAGTTGAAGCAGATGCACAGAGTGGAGCCGTGAGGAACCCTGCAAAGAGAAGAGACGAGATATTTGAAGAACAGATGGCTAGCAGCAGCATCGAGGGGAGGAGGGAGCGCTTTGAAAATACTTATTTCCAGGAGCTTGTATGCCACTTTGAATCAGTGGAGTGGCCGGAGCCACAGGATGCTGCTGTTTATGGTTTGTTTGTTTGTTTGTTTTAATGTAATATTGTGTAATTTATGGTTGCTTTAACTGTCAGCTGCCTAGAGTCCCAAAAGCAGGCAGCATCTGATTAATGTAATCAACTTTATAAACAGTATTTGAAATAATACATTTCAACAGAAGCAGGGGTGCGTTAAGGAGGTGCAAGGATGCAAGATGGCAAGGGAATTAAATCCTGGGGAGGAAAACCCAGATCTTTTGGACCATCCGAGGTGGGAGGCTTGACCAACCGTGCTGGCTGAGAAACTAGCCAGCCTCATAGTCCCGGCAGAGAAACAGCTGGAGGATGGGGCCGGGGGCTGCCGGAAGAACTCTATGGCTTTGCGAAGCCTTCCAGGAAATCCCCTGGCCAGGAGGTGGGCCCGTGCTGTAGTTCTTTCAAGACTCCAGAAATGGCTTGTTTGCAAGCCGCAGGGCCTCAGGGATCTTCCAGAAAAGTCGTCTCAGCGTGCATCGTGCGCTGAGGTTTCCCTCTCTCCTCTGCGGTTCCTTCATTGCTTCTGAGCTGCAGCTTGTTTTGAAGTGAAGCTTCCAGAAGCTGGCAAAGCCTCAGTGGCCAACACTGAATCCTAATGACACAGTTGCAGAGAAAGACCCGCTCTATTTGTTGCTTCCTCTCTGGGTCTTTGCTGAACACCCAACAGGCGCTTCTGCCTGCCCCCTTTATGGCACAGGGGTAGCAATGAGATGCTTGGAGAAGCCAGTGTTGGTCCCGAAGCACCCCAAAAATGCACAGTGCTTGGCTGTCTCGTGAAAAGGGCTCTGTGGGCTTCATGTTGTGACCAGTGGACAAGAGCTGGGATGAAACCTCCCGTGCAGAGGGAGACGTGGCTCCAGTCTTAAATCAGAGAATCATAGACTTGTAGAGTTGGAAGGGATCCTGAGGGTCATCTAGTCCAACCCTCAGGATCCCTTCCAACGTGCAGGGAAACCAATGAAACCATCTCTCCAGCCTCTTGGACAAAGCCTTCAGGGATGGAAAGTTCACAGCTACCCCGCCCACCTACCCACCCCCTAC